TAATTTATTCTGCTACTTCTTTCGGAGTAACAGGAGCAATCATGTCGATCGAATTGGAGGACGAAATATTGTCTGCAACCGGTGGGTTATTGTGTTGGTTGTATTGTACGTCGTTTGGTACAAATACTCCTGCCAGATATTCAGCAAATAGATCCGCTTTTTGTTGATCATCACGAGCCCAATCGCTTAGTCCCTTTCTAATAGGCGGTATTGACACAACTGGTTTTCTAACTTTCTTTGTAACCTTCCACAAGGAATGTTCAGTTTCCTTATCTGCTGATAAATTTGTAATAAAGGAATTTAGATAATTTTTTTTTAATTTGTAAATTTCACGTTTTAGCTTTTGAGTTCGTCTATTTAATGATGTCTTATCGCTAGGATGACGTGTTTGTTGCCATCGTCTTCTTGCTTTTCTTTTCTCTTTGACTAAAATCCGAATTTCAACCGGATAATTTACTCCTTTCGTGATGTGAGTAATTTCTTTGGTGTTTTTGTAAGCAACTGTTTGTAGCAGAGTCGTGAATTTTTCGGTTTCTATGTCGAGTTGGTCGGCTGTTTTCAATCTTAAGTTCAACGTGATTTCTTCTTGTAGGTCAGCTTGGAAGCACTTCCAATCCGTTGTTTTGTTGGTGAGTGTTGGCTTGGCTTCCCTTTTAATGATTTTCTCACTCATAGTCATGACTACTGCTGAATGATCTGATTCAAGGTTTTTCAATTCAAGTCATTAATTTCGAGGTAATTCGATGATACTTTTCTGGAGATAAAGTTCAATAAATCTGGGATTTTCGTCCTATCCGCTGGCCAGTAAGTTGGTTTTCCCGTGGAATGAAGTTACCGCTCATATTTCTAATAGCTTCTCTCAACGCTTTTCCTTTTGTATTTGTTATTCTTGCGCCCCAATCTACGTGTTTAGCATTAAAGTCTTCTCCTAGTATGAATCTTTCTCCCATACGTCTTAATATAAACGAATAATCGTCTATTTTAAGATTATATCTCGGTGGTATATAAATGGCTCCAACTTTAAAAAAAATTTATTTTGTTGTAGTCTACAATATTACTAACAACCAACCGCCTTCGAATTTTTGCCTGTATATTTTGTTCCATTTCAATTGGACTTGGTTTTGGTTGTAGTGGTGAAGCTGACGCTTTTCTTTTTTTATGTTTAGGTAATGAGAATAAGGTACTACTTGGAAAATATTACCAGATTTTACGCAAATATTTTTACATTTTTTCAATAATGTGCCATCGACTGAAACATGTCGCCATTTATTGCTCATACCTTAAGAACCAATGGAGTTACAGCGCTCATTTTTCAGTCATTGGATAGATAATTAAAAACGTCATTAACAACGGTAAACTTGAGTTAAAAAATAGTGGCAGGTTTCACCAGAAATGCGATTTCAGTGTTACACCAAAACACACACTATTAGGCCATCATTTCAAACATTAGGTCATTTTTTCGCTCATATTTTATGAGAATATTTAGCCAGAGCGCGCATTTTTACACCACTAGATAGAGAATTAAATAGTGCTTTTACGGAATAATACTTTTACTAATAAAATACTGATAATGTTGACGCAAAAAGCAAAAATTCCTTTGCTTCTATATTTGCGCGGTTTTGGCAAACATGGCCCCGCATTTTTGGTCATATCTAAAAAACCATTAGAGCTACAGCACTTGTTTTTCTGCGACTAGATAGCGAATTAAAAACCTCACTCACAATGGCGAGCTAAAATTAGGAAATAAACGCGGCTTTTACACAAAATGCAATTTAAATTGGACACTAAAAATACAAGATTAGGTCATGATTTCAAACATGATGCCAACTTTTTGTCATATATTAGACACAAATTAAGTTATCGCGATAATTTCTACACCACTCACTAAAAAATTAAACAACTCATTAACCAAACAAATACTACTATGGAAAAGTGAGCGAAATTTCGACACAGTTTTGGTCAAATTGTGCCGAAATTCAAAAATTCGGCATGTGTGGCCATAGCTTCGTAATAAACAAGAAGCTACAGTTTTTTCGGGTCATCTTCACAAGCGTGATTTATTTTTCTGCTGCTTCAGCTTTCGATGTATCATAAATCGTCATGTTTTTGTTTCTGCTTTAGCTAAGGTTTTCTTTGTTACTTTTTTTACATTTTTCTTTCTTTCCTTTTTTCTCTTCCAAATGTCCGGTTGAGTCTTCCACGTTCTCTGTTCCAATTTTACAATATTTAAATTCGTTCTCATTAGGCTTGTTTTTTGTTCACATTTGTTTTGCTGAATCTGTAATTGTTTTCCTCCTCTTTTGTCTGTTGCTTCGCTGTTTGCAGTTTGTTTCTTTCTAAGTAGGTATCAGTCCATCTGCACTTTGCATTATCTATTATTTGGTATCTATTGGAAATCGTGTTAAAACTTCTTCACCGTTTTGTGTTTTTTTCGACTATATTTTAACTCTTCACGAATTATTATTGATGATAATTGATGAATAATCTTCATGTGTTGTTCCTTTAACTTGGTTTTCCTCCCTAGAAAGTACTAAATTCTGGAGCATTATAGACGAAGTCTAATAACAAAGTGTAACAGTAGTCTCACTTAAATAAGATGCAACAAAATTCTACAAAAATGCCTAAGAAAACACGACTTTAAAGCTTCTGTGCCACCATTGGGCTCTTACCTGGTACAGGAAGATAATGGGAAACTGGAGGAAGAACCACAACCATCCAAATTCGCTAAAGTTGTAATAAACGCTACTGTAGCCGCCATTGTAAATGTAGCAGGAGAGAATGGAGCTAATGGTGGCGTTCATGAAGAGAGTGGTAGAACCCCAGAAAATTTCGTTCTTTTCCAATTCTGGCGTCAACCATTTTTGCGGCTGGCATTTCCATTCTTCTGGTGTCTCCCGTTGCCTTACATAGTAGTACCACTGGAACAAAATGCGTTTGTTAAGGCAAAAGAAAGTTCTGGAAAAACTAGAATTTTCTTGAGTACAGCAGAGCGTTAAAATGCCTTTTTCACGATAAAATTCAAACTTCCAATCGGCCACCTGTGTGCGTGCCACTTTAGACGTCACCCGGAGCACTTGAAACCTCCACAATCAGATTGGTCGTTCGTCGTCTGTTTTCCCACGTGTATCATATTTTATCAGGGCTAAAGGTTACTAAGTATATTTGGAAGAGAAAAATTTATTAACTTGTACTCTACTCACTTGTATGAATCCGCCGATAATAAAGTACATTCCGTAGGAGATAACGCAGGAAGGCCACCAGAAGCTCCATAGATTGTTGAGCTTGAGAGATTCTAAAGATAATCCGGTCCAGCTAATTGAGCTATTCGATGATGCGTGGATGTTTTGATAAAATCCGAATTGTCTGGCTAAGTGGACACAGACGGCAATCCAGTCACCTGGAATAGAGAATTTTTCTCATTGAATTGTGCAGCTGAAACTTGAAAATCAATGCCAAAATCGGTATTTTCGGATGAAACAAACGCCACATCCTTGAACGGTGACTCAAACCGTGATAAGATAATTTACTTATAGTAAAATGTACATAAGTTTCACTTTGATAGTAAGATGTACTTTTTTTTTCGTTTATTTCATTAATTCAATTAATCTTCAACATCCGGTACTTTCATCCATTCTATCTGTTGCAAAAGTTTGATCGCCCTGTTATGGCTCACTCTGTATACAGGGTGTTTTGACTGATGAGTCGGGAAAATGAGTGTACAATTTAGTGGAAATATACACAATTTTATTGAGTGTTTAGCGTTCAAGATACAGAGTGTGAAAGTTTTAATTGTATCTTTGTTTTTTCGCGTGCACGCTATGTAATTGATTAGTTCAGTTTAATTTTCAACTTTCAAATCTCTATTAATTAAGACTATTCCAATGGAATCTTAACTACATGGCGACTTTTGAGTTAATAATTTTCAATCTCTTGCAGATTTTTTTTACAGCCACTCTGTATATTAGTGGCCAATAAATCGAATTTCCTACTCCGTTTTAAATACTTTCAATCCCTTAAGTTCTTGCGTTATTTTGCAACGTTTGATCGTTATTAGCCAAAATGTGCTTATGTTTGTGTGATGTTTTCCGATGTTCAATCCATTAAATATACGGCAGAAGTTATTAAAGGTTTGGTTAAAAGTTGATATTATTCCGTTTTCAGCATTATATTAGTTGCCAATCTTTGCATGTTTTTGATATATTAATCCTTAAGTGTATATTAATCGCAGCACACTTACTAAAAACCAGCCAGAAAAAACTCAGTAGAGACTACGTCCCATTCTAAGCGTTTAAAGTTCAAAAAATGCAATTTTTCAAAATTGTTTGAAAGTATTTGATTTGCCTTAATAAACTTTTCGAAAGGCCATTTTTATTATTTACTTATTTAACCAGTTACTTTTCCTTTTCAATTCCTAACGTTTGAAAGCTAAGGGCAAAAGAATGAACATCTTCAAACGTTTATATTTGTGTGTGTTGAAAATATTCATTCCATCTGAACAATCTGGCTGGTTTTATCAGCAACTGCTATCCTCTAAAGAAGAAACAGGTGAAAACATCCGGTCTGTTTTAAGAATATTTCAAAAAGAGCGTCTCAAAGACCAGTGTTTTTACCAATGAGCTTTTATTAGTAGATCTTAACCTTTAAAAAACTCGAAGCAAAACAAACTAAAACTAAAATAATATAGAATTTTCCAACCTTTATAAAGTTACAAGCAGAATTGTAAGAAATTTTAAACCCTGTGGAGGTTTAACAGCTCATAGCTCGCAAACGGATTAAAATATCGCATTACTCGTAAAGACCTTTTCGATAAAGCATTTCAAAAACTACTATTTCTAATTAGGATTTATCCAAAATTCCTAACCTTTAAATAGTTAGATGCACAATGGTGAAATTTTTAGACACCGTAGAAGTTGAGAGTGTGTATCTCACAAACGGTTGAAAATTTCTGATTCGTCATCTGAATATTTTCTGCAGCTCATTTCCAGAACTATCAGTTTTCCATTACGTCTCATCAGAAATTTCTTACCTTTAAAAAGTTAGAAGTCAAATTGTAAATGTTTTACAGGTGGTCGATGTTTAAGAGCGCATATCTCAGAAACGGTTGAAAATTTCTGATTCGTCATCTGAATCGTTTCTGTGGCTCATTTCCAGAACTATCAGTTTCCCATTAAGCATGATAAGAAATTTTTCATCTTCAAAAAGTTAGAAGCCAATTTCCAAAATTTTTACGGGTCGTCCACGTTTAGCTCGTTTATGGAACTATCCGTTTCTCATTAAGGCTCACAGAAATTTCTTAACTTTAAAAAGTTGAAGCCAAATTGTAAATGTTTTACAGCCGGTCGAAGTTTAAGAGCGCGTATCTCAGAAACGGTTCAAAATTTCTAATTTGTCATCTGAATCTTTTCTGTAGCTGATTTCCAGAACTATCAGCTTCCCATTAAGTCGGATCGAAAATTTCTTACTTTTGAAAAGTTAGAAGCCAAATTGTAATTTTTTATAGGCCGTCGGTCGAAGTTTAAGAGCGCGTATCTCAGAAACGGTTAAAAATATCTGGTCCATCATATGAAACTTTTCTGTAGCTCATTTCCAGAGCTATCACTTTCTCATTAATAAATTTCTGACTTTATCTTAATGAATTTCTGACTTTATCTTAATAAATTTCTGACCTTTAAAAAGTTAAGCCATTTTCTAAATTTTTTCCGGTGCTGTCGAAGTTTAAGAGCGCGTATCTCAGGAACCATTGAAAATATCTGATCTATTATCTGAACATTTTCTGTAGCTCATTTAGAGAACCATCAGATCATCATTCCGCCACATGGGTAATTTTTCACCTCTAACTTTTAGCACTGAGAAGGAGCAAATTTGCACACTCCATATATTACTTTATCAATGAATCGCTTAAATCGAACTTTAATTTGGCAAAAATACCCTCAGATACTAGAATGGCCCATTTTGAGATGTCGCCAAATTTCTTAACTTTTTAAAATTATTTATATTTCCAAAAATGGATGATTTCGTGAAGAGTGCGAAAATATCACCTGTTGATGAAGATTCCACTTCAATAGAACATTTTCAGCTGAATTTGCATCAAAAATACAACAAACGCATAATAGCAGAGTTGAAGCTCCATCTTCAAGAGCATATTTATGCCTGGAAGAAATAAACTCTTCCCCCACCCAGCGAACTTCAATAAATCCGGGGATGCGTACATTTCTATTGGAATAAACATGACCCGAACACGAAACCCCCATGAGATTTTCGACTCTAAAACTGGTGAGGAAATGGACATAAGAATGAGGAATTTAAATTGAAAATAAAATCTAAAAATCCCCATTTAATTTACCTCAAAATACATTTTTCCTATCACGAATCATACGTGAGTTCCATCAGGATCAACGACTTGAAAGATGATAAGATGTGTTTTCGAAACTCTTAAGTGCTTGTATCGATACGAGCAAACTGATCATTCACTGTTGGAGGAATGAATGAATGAAAACGTTAAAAAGTATATTGATTGTCAAATTAATAAAAGTTGAATAAAATATAAAAGCGTTCACAAAGGAAAACCAATAAGCTGCTGCAGACTTTTTCACTCACCATTGATGGATACTCCCAATACAAAGACAGCTACAGTCGCCAGAAACTTGGCAATCCTTTCAGGCACATGATTCCAAACGGCCGAAATTTCCTTGTCGTATTTTTCGGTCCAGGTAACGGCCATCGGGTCGTAAAAAGACTCATTCTGGATCCGGATTGTATCACGTTTCTTCGTCATAGTCGCCCAAATAGTACATTACCGATTACAGAGCAATCCACCACCGTAATGTGCTAAACTTATAATTATACGAGATATGAAAAGTCTTCAAGTCTATTTAAATATTGATTAGAGCGCCTGGATGATAATGATGGCAAGGAAAAGTATCGACTTTTTTAACCAGTGAACCCAATTGGGCAAGATAATGGCTAATCTCAGATGTATATTAACAATTTCGACTAAAGACCTGAAACATGCTCCTTATTTACCGAGTCATTGTTTCCAATCTCGAGCACCTCGCCAATGTGCACATATTTGGTGGCAACGTAAGATATAGATAGGGAATCGTTGACCGGTATTGTTGGATAAAAATATCCAGTTTTTTATTAATGCAATGCACCCCATTGTTCACTGAACCGATGTACTAATATTTAGGTTCAGTGTATTTCATATTACGTAATGTTTCTGTTCTACTTGACTTTGTTATGGGAATGTTGTCCTTTAAAGCGAAAATATATATATTAGTGTGTACGAACTTGCCTTGCACAATAATTGCGATATCATCCGCCTATCCCCAAGCGTAGAAACATCTCTTCTGGACGACCAACAGGCTCCACAGGGGAAGCAAGTCCATTACTTTGCAACGCTATTTCTTGTGCCATTTTGGCCTGGAATACTTTGCCGGAAAAGGTTGCTTTTTGTCATGTTTATGCAGTTATCTCTACCATAAGGTTCATAAAATCGCTTTAATGGTCATTACATGTTACACGAAGCAGTTAAAGCGTCCCGGAAAAGTTTTCTTAACAACGTCTCAGTTGTTACTTAAAAAGAACATTAGACTTAATTAAATTAAAGTTAAAATATTTAAATACGTATTTTTACATAAAAAATGTTCATTTTCACTTTAAATAACCGCTTAAAACTCAAATCTCCTAAAGACACCAATTACGCACTAATGCAATAATTGCCCAATATTACGTCTTTATAACGTCTACACGACGTGACTTTGTCTCAACGGTAGTTAAGAAATAACAGTTAAATGACGGGTTTTTCTGAGGATTCAAACATTTGAATTCCACTAAAATTCCACATTGTTCACTGCTAAATTAAATGCACTTTTAAAGTATGTAGTAAGGTTTCGAACCATCACATTATTTACGTACAAATGTACGCGTTATTTACTTTAAAATAAATTAAGGAATAAAACTTTTAAAGAAGTGTAAAATTAATATTTCAAAACGCTTATAATTTAAACCCCTATGCAGGGTGTCCCGCCGGGAACCGCCGCGATCGATATCTGACAAACTGTAATTAGGAGAAATTTTAAAATTTGACAGTCTGCCAAGGTCATTGGGGGCCAGCGGTCTAAAATATTTTCAAAATGGCCACACTTCCGGTTATACCGGAAGTACGTATCAACTTGCTTATTTTAAATGGAACACGTGTTCGGGTACCCTATATAGTATTACATTTTTGAATTCTACTCCAAATTCTAAATATATTTTATATATAATATCCTGTAGCCAAGTCTAACCGTTTTTGATTTTTATGAAAATGAAATTTTATGTAAAAAATGACAGTTGCAGCCACTCCAGATTAATTTTTCCTATAAGGAAATTTATCATACTTAATTTAAGTCGGATTTATTGTTGAAAAGGACTTACTTTAATGGAATTTGGAAAAAAAATTGAAAACTATTAATGCAAAGTGTGGAAAAAATAAGTTTAAAAATACAGTTGAGAAAACCGCCCAAAATCGTTTTTTTCAAATGGAAACCCTCATTTTTGATAATTTTGTCATATTCGTTATTAAAAATAAGTGTAAGTTTGTATAACGATGTCTATTCCAAAAGTGTTTAGTTTTCGAAATATTGCCAATTTAATGTTTTCATATGGCTATTTTGCAGCACCTTCTTTTAAATCCTGTTGGTTTCCATGACAAAAGTGGCCATTTTTTATGAATCAAATGCCAAAGAAATGCTGACGACAACTGTCAGTTACCTTTTGAAAATAATTAATAATCATGCCAGGGCGCTTCAATTATACAAACCAAGATTATTTAAACTTATTTATTATTTATGAAGAATGTGATAAAGCTGTATCACATTCTTTCATGTTCTTGATATAACTTTATCACATTCTCCATAAATAATAAATAAGCTTAAATAATCTTCGTTTGTATAATTTAAGCATCCGGCCATGATTATTAATTATTTTCAAAAGGTAACTGACAGCTGTCAGCATTCCTTTGGCTTTTATTGCATTAAAAATGGCCACTTTTGTCATGGCAACTAAGACTGACAGGATTTAAAAGAAGATGCTGTCAAATAGCCATATGAAAACATTAAATTGGCAATATTTCGAAAACTAAACACTTTTGGAATAGAAATCGTTACACAAACTTACACTTATTTTTAATCCTGAATATGGCAAAATAATAAAAAATGGGGGTTTCATTTGAAGAAATTGATTTTGAGCGGTTTTCTCAACTGTATTTTGAAACCAATTTTTTTTAACACTTTGTATTAATAGTTTTCAAAATCTTATCAAAATTCCATTAAAGTACGTCCTTTTCAACAATAAATGAGACTCAAATTAAGTATGACAAATTCCCTTATAGGAAAAATGAATAATTATTCGAGTGGCTGCAACTGTAAATTTTTACAAAAAATTTCAAATATCTCAAAAACGGTTAGACTTAGGTATAGAATACTATTCATGAAATAAATTTATAATTTATAGTAGAATTCAAAAATGTAATAATATATAGGGTGTTCCATTTAAAATAAGCAAGTTTATACGCACTTCCCGTGTAACCGGAACTGTGGCCATCTTGAAAATATTTTAGGCGGCGTGCCCCCAATGACCTCGGCACACTGCCCAATTTTCAAATGTCTGCTATTTACAGTTTGCAGATGTCGATCACGGCAGTTTCGGTGGGACACCCTGTATAACAATTAGAAAAGCCAAAAAGCCTAGAAAGAGCCAGAGACGCAGTTGAAAATATTCTGTTATATAGATTAAATCAAACAGTTAAGCTTAGAATAGCGCATTATAAACGCAATTAGTTATTAAAAAATACGGATTTAGTGGAGAAAGCAATTGCAAACGCATTTAATAAACTGGTGAAAAAACGTTATTTATTTTCATAAAAAATCTGGCAGGCTTGATTTCGTGCATAGAAAAACTACTCAAAACTTACAGTAAAATCACCAACAGAATATTAACAATTGCGTTTAAAGCAACATCATTTTTGTAGGCACAAAAGTAATAGAACGATGGATGTGAACGAAATCAATGACCATAAAACCTTCAAAACATTCTGAAACATAAATGTATAGTATTGAAGGAAAAATAATAGAAACATGTGAAAACAAAGACTAGAAATCACAGGCAGCTATTTAAATGAACCACACAAAATTAGTTTAAATATTCAGGATTTTCAAACGGTTGGTTTCAATGTTGATTTTTTTGAAAAATCCGCACTTTAGAAGCGCTAAATGCATCGTAATACCTTTTTCCTTGTAGTTTCATATGTTCTAGTTCTCTGTAACCGAAAAAGCGCTAAAAGCTTTTAGTTCTTAGCTCTCTTCCAGCTCAGTCAGAGCAAAACTATCCAGTTTCCAGGAAAGTATTTCAAGGCGAATGAAACATGTTTTGTATTAATCATTTATTAATTAAGCAGCTTGTAATACAGAACACTAAAAATCAGACGTAGGTGAAATGCTACAATGGAATTTGTTGTCCACCAACAACTTCCACAGAAGCTCTTCATTCATAAAAGAAAAAAATTATCCAAACTTTAGTACGAAAATTCTAGCAATATGTTTGTTACATGGGTCGTCCCATTCCGCGGCCCATTTGCGGCTGCTGATCTCCTCCAGACGTTTGATTTTTAATCGTCTCATCGACGGAAAGAATCAAAGATGCAGCCTCAGTAGCGGCAGTTAAGGCGTTGATCTTGATGATGGCGGGCTCCCAAACGCACAGCGCATAATTGTCGCTGATGTCCTCCTGATTGATGTCCACCCCGTACCAACACTGCCCCTGAGCGTGCTTCTGGCGCAACTTGTTCAGAATATTGGTGGCATCGAAACCTGCATTATCGCATAACTGCCTTGGAATGATTTCTAGCGCTTTCGCGATAGCGCTGATCAACAGCTGTTCCTTTCCGGCGATTGTCCTCGAGTAGTCACGCAGCATTTTCGAGAGTTCCATTTCAATGGCACCACCACCTGTAGAGGAAACAGAATGCCAATGTTAACTACTAGCTTGCAAAAGAACTAATCCATTTGAAACTGACCAGCAACAACAGCATCGCTTTTAATAGTTCTTCGGACTATCATGATGGCGTCGTGCAGAGAACGTTCGGTTTCCTCCAAAAACTGTTCGGCGCCGCCCCTCAGAATCAGGGTGCAAGTTTTCGCATTCGGGCAGCCCCTGAAGAAGTTAAATCTCTCGCCTCCAATCTGCCGTTCTTCGAACAGATCGCATTTGCCTAATACTGAGTCTTTCAGATCGTGCGCTGTGGTCATTACAGCCCCTCCGCAAGCTTTCAGAGTCCGTTTCAGGTCCTCTTCGGGAACGCGTCCAGCGCAGAACATGTCCCTGAAAACAACCACAATTTTTTGTCGAAAGTGAATATTAAAAAATTTAATTTAATTTACTTTTAAGTTTAAGTAATTAATTAAAAATTGTCATAAAGTTTAAAGTTCTTATCTGGAGGTCTTTATGGACTGTTAATAATAGCGAGAGTTCAGTGTCTGTATTTGTCACCGTTTTATTAATTATAATTTGCTTCATAAATGCAACATTTCCTGTTTGTTCAAATCTGTCCAACAAAGTTTTGAATGTTTTAACTCTCGGTTTTCTTCCAGCATTTTAGTATCGGAAAGCACATACTCTACTGGCTAATAATTATATTTTTTTTGCCTCTCAAATCCATTAATTTGTTCGCTTAATTGTTGAATTTTGTACTAGACTTTAATGACGCTAATTCCTGCAAAAGTTTGACTTTGTAACCGATGTATTCATAAACTTGTAATTCAAAGTATTGAAAATTTTTGTGGCCTAATATTATTTAAAAATCGATTTTTTTTTAAATTACAGGACACAATTCAACAGACAATAATTTATTACAATACTGTTCAAATTATTGAAATGTGTCCATCCTACAAGCATCATGAAATAACTCAATCTTCCCCTCACTGATTGTTAAATTCTTTCAAAAATATCTTTTGAGGTTTTGAGCGTATTTTTAGATACAATTTAGTATTCATATTATTTCAATTCTTTCAAAATAATTTACAAATTTACCCTCCGAATCATTTCAAAGTTAGAGTGCAGTTACCGGGAATCTCTGTTTAAGAGTGTAAGTTAATGAAAGAGTTTCCTTCATACCTACAGTATACATAAAGCATTCGATTCAATGCATATAAAATTCTTACCGATCAGCAAAGAATTGAGTAGCCACATCACCAATGGGCAACTTGGAGAGCACCACATTGGCCCCACTTTCGTGAATTTTCTGCAGCTTCCCGTACAAAATGTTCCATTCAGCATCTACAATCTGCTGATACTCTTTCACGTTATCAACGCGGACTTCTGCATTGTCTCTTTCCGCTTTCAATTCGAGCTCGATGTTCAGCAGGGCGATTTTGCAGTTTTTATAAACCTTGGGCTGCATCTCAAAGCCTGCATAGGAAAAGGTTTTCTTGAAGGCAACTCCGGCCACTAGCATGGAGTCTTCCAGGCCGCCACCCTGGACCTTTTTAATGCCAATCATGTTCAAAGGGAGAAGTTCATCGAGGAGTAGAACTGCATCTACAACCATCTTGGAGAAAAACACTCTCTGCTGGCTGATCAGCTTTGAGCTCATGGCAGTTGCGGCGCATTTTTCCAACAAGGAGCGGAATTCTGTCGCATTCGATTTGTTGATTTTGATCGAAATTTCGTTGATCTTCTCAAGGCACAACTGCAGACATTTTCGGATGGATCTGATGATGACTCTCGGATGCACTCCCTCCTCCACATAGGGTTTGATGTGTTTCAAAAACTCCCCAGCCAAAAGTACCACACTAGTGGTACCATCTCCAACTTCGGCGTCCTGTGACTTGGCGATATCAACCAGGGTTTTCGCCGCCGGATGCACCACATCCAAAAGCTTCATTATAGTGGCCCCATCGTTGGAAATGGTCGCCTTGCCATTTTTAACCACGATCAACTTGTCCATTCCCCTCGGCCCTAACGTGGTCCGAACGGCATCAACAATCGACTGGCAGGCATTGATATTGGAAATCAATTGCGGCTTTCCCTGCGACGAATCGGTACCCTCTTTGAGAAGAACAATTTGTGGCTGCTGCAAGGAAAAAATGCGCTTTTTAGGATCAGGTGCAGCCCCAGCAAACGCCACATAACCTCAAGGGGATTTTGATGGAACAAGACAGTTTTTGAGCAGTGGAAAGAGTTGGGATGTGCTTACCATTGTTGCGGAGCTCTAGGTAGCACTTGATAAACAACGGGGCTAGGTTTTATTGAGAAAACAGTGGAAAGCGTGAAATTGCCGGATTTCAATCACGTTGGGAGATTTGACAATCAGTTGACAAGGTTGTCAGTGGGTTGCAGACGATGTTTTTCATGTTATTTGCGCATTTTTGGCGCTCAGGAGCAGCTCCTAGTTTGGATAGTGTTCAAGAACCTACTGATGGGGAATGGTCAGATTTTGATTGCAAATGATACGAATAAACTTTAGGTTCTAGTGATGCGTGCGTGCGCGCATGGAAAGGCGAGCACACACATACGCACACGGACAATTTAATGGGACTGATACGTGTGAACCAGATAAGCCCATTTGCGGCGAATAACATGATAACTGATAATTCAATAAATTTGGAAATTTTAGTCAAAGTGGGATCTTGAAAATTAGGAAAAATTGTTAAGTGAATCAAAAGACATGAAAACGGCAAAATCAGGAAGAATTTATTATTAGTAATCCAAAAACGACATCATTCTGTGTGCATAGGACTTCTCATCGAAGATGCCTTTCACCATGAAAATTTGTATTAAACTGGTGAAAATCATTGCAAATAGCACAAAGAACGAATAACGGTTAACTTTCATAAAAATAGCTTCGGCAAGTCTGCGACTTTTGGCATGGTCCACCTTGGACATTTTTTGCTTTGCCTCTACATAGTCCAAATATTCCTTAACATGCCGAATGGTAGTGTTGATATTTGCAACATTTTTCAACGTTTCATTAAACAATTCGATCAAAGGGTCTGTCTGTTCTAAACCAGTGCTGTTGAAAATGTCTATTTCGAAGTACACAGTTTTCGTATTGAATGCACTGAATGTGTTATCAAAGCAGAATTTATAGGACCCATTTAATTTGGCGTACATTCTGTGAATTTCTCCACCCTTTTTGAAGTCAGCAACCAGAATTCGACCGGCTGGATCAGTTAAGGTGAAGGATATATCGAACTCTCCATGTCCACCATCCAGAACTTCGTATTCTGCAACTATTTGGTCGTCTACACTCCCATACTCGAAGAAACAACTTTCAGTCAGTGGATCTACCTTCAAAATCAACTCTTGATCTTCACCGGAGACTCTTGATGAACAGCACAATAACAAAATAAGCATGTACATCTTAATTTAAATGGACAAAGGTTATCGATTTATCACTTCACTTGTAGTGTTTCGACATGAAACTGCACTGATATGGGATACATTTAGAGTTCCCTGATAGTTTCAATAGGCTATAGATGTTTTTTGTGATTAAAAAAGGCCCATTTGAATTCAATTGACACTCATCTGACATTAACATAAACAATCAATCTGTCAGTTTTTTTGTTAATTCAATTCGCCATCCTGCCGCGTTTTGATACGTAAAACACATTAGTGGAAATGAGATAGATACATGATCCGCCTTGTAATTGCTGAACGCTTAAAGCCCATTTTCACCTCCAAAGGGCCAGTAATTGTTACTTCTGTTTACAGAGCCCCTCATGAAGCCCTGAACCTGCTGGACATCCAGACAATGTTAGGGAACAACA